GGGAGAAGAGAGGGATGTTCTAGTCCACTCTCTAATCAACGAGTCACTACTTCAACATTCCCCTGTGGGAAACACCCACAACCCTGGCGTTGCAACGCCATGCTCTATCAACTGAGCTCATCCCTGCCGCCATTCCCCCCTACCCTGGACACTGGGCCAATTGCGCCGCCCATGATCTCCCGTCGCGGCCTGTTGCGACAGAGCCTGGATTTCGACCAGACTTGGCCGTTGCACTGGATGCATGCCTAGACCACTGCCACAGAGCGTGCCCCTGCACTACTTCACTGTATAATAGACATCCAAAACCCAATTTCACTGTGTTTTTTATCAGAATGATGCTTATTGGTACCCATGGAGTGAAATTATTCTGATCTAAGTGTTTTTTTAAAGATTTAGATGTTTATGAAATGTGTTCTTTGCAAACACTATATATCCATGTTTCGGAGAATGTTCGTACTATATATTGTGTGATTGTGTTGTCTCACCTAGCTACCTTAAGATGAATGCACTTACTGTAAGTCACTCTGGATAAGAGTATCTGCTAAATGACTAAAATGTTAAATGTAAATGTTTTACATACAGATCTCATACTACTGTATGAAAAAACGAATATATATAATCATAATATTGACATCACAAATGTATTATTTCTACAGTTCTTTATAAAAAAACAAACATGTTATTTATTCCATTTGACTGTTTAAAACCTAGCAGTACTACTTATTTCTCTGAGAGTGACCTGGATATATAGCATTTAGCAAAAAACTTTATTTGTCTCTCTGAAATGAAACCATCAAGTGATAGATTTTAAACAAATACATGTCTGTCATTGAACAACCCTATGCCATAATTAGATAGTGAAAAAACACACCAATCTCTTTCATAATTTCTTTAAACAATAAAAGCTAATTTACCAACATTTCTGAAAATGGATATATAGCTTTTTGGAATAAAACTGTTCACCATTTTTTTGTGATGATTTGTCCCATACAGACAGATCACACACACATACACGCATGTAGGCACACAAATATGCTCCATACACGTGCATGCACGCACGCACGTTTATAAATAGCAGTAAATTGCAGGTATTTCTACAGAGGATAGACTGATGGTGGTTGTACGGCTTCTAAATGGTGGTTCATTGTGTAGTGCGTGTGTGCTCGTGCACATGTTGACACCAATCATTGTGTCTTTCTAGCAGAATAAAAGCCTTTTTCCGTTTCCACGGTAACACACAATCAGACGCCATTTCACCACCATAAAACCTCCCAGACAGACACACACACTCTTACCCTGAATTTGTACTGTGTGCTCCTCTTCAGGCCTTGCACTGTGCAGGTTAGGTTGTCTCCAGTGTATTTTGGATGAAAGTCTGTTCCCTGGAAGGTGAAACGTTCTCAATTAACCTTTAAACTGATGTTTTGCTGTACTTGGGTGTGTACAGTTGAAGTCGGAAGTTTACATACACTTAGGTTGGAGTCATTGAAACTCGTTTTTCAACCACTCCACACATTTCTTGTTAACAAACTATAGTTTTGGCAAGTCGGTTAGGACATCTACTTTGTGCATGACACAAGTATTTTTTCCAACAATTGTTTACAGACAGATTATTTCACTTATAATTCACTGTATCACAATTCCAGTGGGTCAGAAGTTTACATACACTAAGTTGACTGTGCCTTTAAACAGCTTGGAAAATTCCAGAAAATGATGTCATGGCTTTAGAAGCGTCAGATAGGCTAAGTGACATAATTTGAGTCAATTTGAGGTGTACCTGTGGATGTATTTCAAGGCATACAGTGAGGGGAAAAAGTATTTGATCCCCTGCTGATTTTGTACGTTTGCCCACTGACAAAGAAATTATCAGTCTATAATTTTAATGGTAGGTTTATTTGAACAGTGTGAGACAGAATAACAACAAAAAAATCCAGAAAAACGCATGTCAAAAATGTTATAAATTGATTTGCATTTTAATGAGGGAAATAAGTATTTGACCCCCTCTCAATCAGAAAGATTTCTGGCTCCCAGGTGTCTTTTATACAGGTAACGAGCTGAGATTAGGAGCACACTCTTAAAGGGAGTGCTCCTAATCTCAGTTTGTTACCTGTATAAAAGACACCTGTCCACAGAAGCAATCAATCAATCAGATTCCAAACTCTCCACTATGGCCAAGACCAAAGAGCTCTCCAAGGATGTCAGGGACAGGATTGTAGATCTACACAAGGCTGGAATGGGCTACAAGACCATCGCCAAGCAGCTTGGTGAGAAGGTGACAACAGTTGGTGCGATTATTCGCAAATGGAAGAAACACAAAATAACTGTCAATCTCCCTCGGCCTGGGGCTCCATGCAAGATCTCACCTCGTGGAGTTGCAATGATCATGAGAACGGTGAGGAATCAGCCCAGAACTACACGGGAGGATCTTGTCAATGATCTCAAGGCAGCTGGGACCATAGTCACCAAGAAAACAATTGGTAACACACTACGCTGTGAAGGACTGAAATCCTGCAGCGGCCGCAAGGTCCCCCTGCTCAAGAAAGCACATATACATGCCCGTCTGAAGTTTGCCAATGAACATCTGAATGATTCAGAGGAGAACTGGGTGAAAATGTTGTGGTCAGATGAGACCAAAATCGAGCTCTTTGGCATCAACTCAACTTGCCGTGTTTGGAGGAGGAGGAATGATGCCTATGACCCCAAGAACACCATCCCCACCGTCAAACATGGAGGTGGAAACATTATGCTTTGGGGGTGTTTTTCTGCTAAGGGCACAGGACAACTTCACCGCAATCAAAGGGACGATGGACGGGGCCATGTACCGTCAAATCTTGGGTGAGAACCTCCTTCCCTCAGCCAGGATATTGAAAATGGGTCGTGGATGGGTATTCCAGCATGACAATGACCCAAAACACAACGGCCAAGGCAATAAAGGAGTGGCTCAAGAAGAAGCACATTAAGGTCCTGGAGTGGCCTAGCCAGTCTCCAGACCTTAATCCCATAGAAAATCTGTGGAGGGAGCTGAAGGTTCGAGTTGCCAAACGTCAGCCTCGAAACCTTAATGAGAAGGAGAAGATCTGCAAAGAGGAGTGGGACAAAATCCGTCCTGAGATGTGTGCAAAACTGGTGGCCAACAACAAGAAATGTCTGACCTCTGTGATTGCCAACAAGGGTTTTGCCACCAAGTACTAAGTTATGTTTTGCAGAGGGGTCAAATACTTATCATTAAAATGCAAATCAATTGATAACATTTTTGACATGCGTTTTCCTGGATTTCTTTGTTGTTATTCTGTCTCTCACTGTTCAAATAAACCTACCATTAAAATTATAGACTGATCTTGTCTTTGTCAGTGGGCAAACGTACAAAATCAGCAGGGGATCAAATACTTTTTTCCCTCACTGTACCTTCAACCTCAGTGCCTCTTTGCTTGACATCATGGGAAAATCAAAAGAAATCAGCCATGACCTCAGAAAAAAAAAATTTTTTTTTGTAGACCTCCACAAGTCTGGTTCATCCTTGGGAGCAATTTCCAAACGCCTGAAGGTACCACGTTCATCTGTACAAACAATAGTACGCAAGTATAAACACCATGGGACCACGCAGCCGTCATACCGCTCAGGAAGGAGACGCATTCTGTCTCCTAGAGATTAACGTACTTTGGTGCGAAAAGTGCAAATCAATCCCAGAACAACAGCAAAGGACCTTGTGAAGATGCTGGAGGAAACAGGTACAAAAGGATCTATATCCACAGTAAAACGAGTCCTATATCGACATAACCTGAAAGGCCGCTCAGCAAGGAAGAAGCCACTGCTCCAAAACTGCCATAAAAAAGCCAGACTACGGTTTGCAACTGCACATGGGGACAAAGACCATACTTTTTGGTGAAATGTCCTCTGGTCTGATGAAACAAAAATAGAACTGTTTGGCCATAATGTCCATCGTTATGTTTGGAGGAAAAGGGGGCGCCTTGCAAGCCGAAGAACACCATCCCAACCGTGAAGCACGGGGGTGGCAGCATCATGCTGTGGGGGTGCTTTGCTGCAGGAGGGCCTGGGGCACTTCACAAAATAGATGGCATCATGAGGAAGGAAAATGATGTGGATATATTGAAGCAACATCTCAAGACATCAGTCAGGAAGTTAAAGCTTGGTCGCAAATGGGTCTTCCAAATGGACAATGACCCCAAGCATACTTCCAAAGTTGTGGCAAAATGGCTTAAGGACAACAAAGTCAAGGTATTGGAGTGGCCATCACAAAGCCCTGACCTCAATCCTATAGAAAATTTGGGGGCAGAACTGAAAAAGCGTGTGCGAACCTACAAACCTGACTCAGTTACACCAACTCTGTCAGGAGGAATGGGCCACAATTCATGGGCCAGAATTCACCCAACTTATTGTGGGGAGCTTGTGGAAGGCTACCCAAAACATTTGACCCAAGTTAAACAATTTAAAGGCAATGCTACCAAATACTAATTGAGTGTATGTAAACTTCTGACCCACTGGGAATGTGATGAAAGAAATAAAAGCTGAAATAAATCATTCTCTCTACTATTATTCTGACATTTCACATTCTTAAAATAAAGTGGTGATCCTAACTGACCTAAGTCAGGGAATTTTTACTAGGATTAAATGTCAGGAATTGTGAAAAACTGAGTTTAAATGTATTTGGCTAAGGTGTATGTAAACTTCCGACTTCAACTGTATGTGTGTGTGCGTCATTATATCTGTGTGTGTGACTCACGGTATTGTCCTCCTGGATCTCGAGTGTGTATGTGAGCAGTTCTTCATTGGCGCTGCCCTCGGGCCGGCCCCACTCCAGGGTGACCCAGGAGACGCCCGCCCGCAGCAGCCGCGGTGCCAGGGGGCACGTGGGTAACGTACCTGTAGTGTAGAATACAACCTCCGCACTGAAACCACTGTGGAGGGAGGGAGGGAGGGACAAGAGTTTAGACACACACAAAGCAGAGCTCATCTCCTTCATCTCTTCTGCACCATGCTTTATCTCTTTCCATCTCTCCCTCCATTACCTCCCTCCATCTCCCTCCTCTTTTCTCTCACTGTAACGACCGGCCGCAGGGGAATCTGCCCCCAACGGCAATGATGCGAGAACAAGAGGAGCGCGGCAACAAGAAAATAGAGAGAGACTCATTCAGAGTGATAAGACTCATCAACCAGACAACTAACCTCAACACAGCTATACATCAACCAGACAACTAACCTCAACACAGCTATACATCAACCAGACAACTAACCTCAACATAGATCTACATCAACCAGACAACTAACCTCAACACAGATCTACATCAACCAGACAACTAACCTCAACACAGATATACATCAACCAGACAACTAACCTCAACACAGATATACATCAACCAGACAACTAACCTCAACACAGATATACATCAACCAGACAACTAACCTCAACACAGATCTACATCAACCAGACAACTAACCTCAACACAGATATACATCAACCAGACAACTAACCTCAACATAGATCTACATCAACCAGACAACTAACCTCAACACAGATATACATCAACCAGACAACTAACCTCAACACAGATCTACATCAACCAGACAACTAACCTCAACACAGATCTACATCAACCAGACAACTAACCTCAACACAGATCTACATCAACCAGACAACTAACCTCAACACAGATATACATCAACCAGACAACTAACCTCAACACAGATCTACATCAACCAGACAACTAACCTCAACACAGATATACATCAACCAGACAACTAACCTCAACACAGATATACATCAACCAGACAACTAACCTCAACACAGATCAACATCAACCAGACAACTAACCTCAACACAGATATACATCAACCAGACAACTAACCTCAACACAGATCTACATCAACCAGACAACTAACCTCAACACAGATCTACATCAACCAGACAACTAACCTCAACACAGATATACATCAACCAGACAACTAACCTCAACACAGCTGTACATCAACCAGAGGGTGTGTGAGAGAGACAAAGAGAGACAGAGTGAGAGAGAGACAGGCTCAGTGAGCACAGCCTTGCCATTGAGAAGGGTAAACAAAGGAAAACCTGGCTCCCTATAGAGGAAAGGCTGTGCAACCACTGCACCACAGTAGAACCTGAGACAGCTGCATTTGCTGACAAAATGTCAAAAATATAAAACAATTAGAGAGTGTAATTTCCCCAAATTTGAAACAGTTTTTCAAGGTTTCAAAGACCTCTCTGATGAAAATAGGCTACCCGTCCTGTTGGGGGAGGACGCAGAGATCTGTGGGACAATGTCTGAGAGACCAACCAACCTGCACTTGTCCTCTATATTGTTATTGTTCAATGGTTATTTTGACCCTTGGTTATTGTTGTTACTGTTGTCCCGTTGACAATATTGATTATTATTATTTAATTATGTTAATATTGTAAATATCCAAAGTAAGCTTTGGCAATATGTACATTGTTACGTCATGTCAATAAAGCAAACTGAATTGTATTGAATTGAGAGAGAGAGAGAGAGAGAGAGAGAGAGAGAGAGAGAGAGAGAGAGAGAGAGAGAGAGAGAGAGAGAGAGAGAGAGAGAGAGAGAGAGAGAGAAGAAGAACGAAGAAAAAGACAGAAGAATAACAGAAAGAAACACATACAAAGAAGCGACTCAGACTAGAGAACTAGAGCAAGGATAGAGCAGAATAGCGAGACATAGATAGAGATAAAGATGAGACATAGAAGACAAGAGACAGAGCGACAGAGAGAGATAGATGGTGAGGGTGCAACAGATGGGAAGAGTGAAGGTCAAAATGACAGAGAGGATGACAGAGAGTAACAGAGCAGAAGCCCAGGTGGAAGAGAGGGTTGGAGATAGATAGAGAGAGAACGACAGAGAGATTGATAGAGACATAGAAAGATATAGAGGAGGAAAGAGACTGAGAGAGCCAGGAGAAGAGAGATCGAGACAACGAGAAAGATAGATATAGACAGAATGATAGAAACAGAGAGAGGGAAAGTGGAAGATGTCACCTACCTTGTGCAATGTAGTGTTATGCCATGCATATGTAGTGCTATAACACCCATACCTGGTGCCTATGTAGTGTTATGTCACGTATATTTAAGCAATAAGGCCCGAGGGGGTGTGGTATATGGCCAATATACCACGGCTAAGGGCTGTTCTTATGCACGACGCAACGCAGAGTCCCTGGATACAGCCCTTAGCCGTGGTTTATTGGCCATATATCACAAACCCCCGAGGTGACTTATTGCTATTATAAACTGGTTACCAACGTAATTAGAGCTGTTTTGTCATACCCATGGCATACTGTCTGATACCACAGCTTTAAGCCAATCAGCATTCAGGGCTCGAACCACCCAGTTTACAAGTAGCATTATAACACCTACCTGGTGCCTATATAGTGTTCTGTCATGTATATGTAGCATTATAACACCTACCTGGTGCCTATGTCGTTGTGAGCAGCCACTCTGAAGGTGTAGCCCACAGCAGGACACAGTCTGGTCAGCTTACAGTGTCTCTGGCTCCCAAAGTAACATTCTCTAAATACACTGTTCTTCTTTCCCTATGGAGGAGAGGAGATGTGGATGAGAGGGGAGGAGGAGGGAGAGAGACTGCAATAATAACAATAATAATAATAATAATAATAACAATAGTAATATAATTTATTTGTCAGGCGCTGTTCTGGGAAGCCAAGGACACACCAACTTGACATCATGATCTAATAATACAAATCTTGAACAGAGCCATATGAAGACTGCCTTTTCATATTCATTTAGAGAGAGAGAGAGGGGAGAGGAGAGAGAGAGAGAGGAGAGAGAGGAGAGAGAGGAGAGAGAGGAGAGAGAGAGAGAGAGAGAGAGAGAGAGAGAGAGAGAGAGAGGAGAGAAAGAGAGAGAGAGTATTTTATGTATTTCATGTACGTTTGAAATAGATGGTATATTATCCAATAGGAGTGTGTATAGTACCTCGTCCCACTCCAGAAGGTAGTTTGTGATTTTGGATCCGTTGTCAATCGGAGGCTGGAGAGAGAAGAGAGGAATAAATAGGACTGTCTGGAGCGTGTGTGTGTGTGTGTGTGTGTGTGTGTGTGTTTGTGTATGCGTATGGTGCGTGTGCGCGCTACGTCTATGTGTAATGAGGAGAGGAGGATGAACTGGGGCTGTCACAGAGAGGAAATGACCTGTGTGTTTTCATTAGTGTGACCTCATATCCTGTCTGAGTGAGTGATGTCACTCTCCACGCTGCCCTTACGCCGTGACAGCAACCAAGACAGAATATCATAAAAAATATATCTATATAGAGGTGAGGGTGAGGGTGCAATCTATCCTGACGAACCCCATCTCAGAATGACATAGAGAAGGATTGGACAGTGACACCAGGAAGCAGATCTTCCCTGAGAGCAAAATAGAACCCTGATTCTCTGTCCTCCTCCCTGAAGTGTGCACTCATTCACCCCCCTTCTCTCTGAAGTGTGCACTCATTCACCCCTTGTCTCTGAAGTGTGCACTCATTCACTCGCCCTGATGGATCTAAAATAGACTGGATGGGTGGGAATGAGTGGACACTTTTGGAACAAGCTTAAACAATCAGAACGTCCAATGAAAGGAACTAAAAGTGTGTGTGTGTGTGTGTGTGTGTGTGTGTGTGTGTGTGTGTGTGTGTGTGTGTGTGTGTGTGTGTGTGTACCTTCCACTGCAGTGTGAGGGTGCTCTTGGTGCGATGGGACAGTTTGGGGGGAAAGGGCAGGTCGGGGGGGCAGTTGTGTGTTGTGAACGACCCCGTCTCCGAACACACACCCCTCAAGTTAGAGTTACACACCGTGCTGACTCTGAAACACACACACACATACACACGAAACATTAATAGTCACATTTATTAACACAATAGTAAAGAAGTGGTGCAAAGTGTGTGTGTGTGTGTGTGTTGCTGACGGAAGGTGTGTGTTCTTACCGTACGTGGTAGTCTGAAGCTGGCCTCAGGTCTTTTAGATGACACTCCAACTCCTCTCCACTACACACACACACACACACACACACACACACACACACACACACACACACACACACACACACACACACACACACACACACACACACACACACACACACACACACACACACGTTATTTACACTTGAGATGAAAGGGAGATGTGGTCCTCTGTAGCTCAATTGGTAGAGCATGGCGCTTGTAACGCCAGTGTAGTGGGTTCAATCCCTGGGACCACCCATTCGTAAAAATGTATGCACACATAACTGTAAGTCGCTTTGGATAAAAGCGTCTGCTAAATGGCATATTATTATGTTTATGTTTGCGTCAGTTGTTCTTCAAAGTCTGGAACGTTCATACACACATCATACACACACGTGTGCAAGTCAGGCTCAGAGTTAGGTGAGTTTTACCTGCTAGTCAGGCTCAGAGTTAGGTGAGTTTTACCTGCTAGTCAGGCTCAGAGTTAGGTGAGTTTTACCTGCTAGTCAGGCTCAGAGTTAGGTGAGTTTTACCTGCTAGTCAGGCTCAGAGTTAGGTGAGTTTTACCTGTATATAAGCCTGTATTTGCCGTCCCGTCCCTTGTCGGACAGAGAGACCTCGTAGGTGAGAGACTGGCTGTTGCTGAACCGGTTCACCAGCCCAACCGGGGGAGCCCAGGACAACCTAGCACCCCGCGCGTGCACGTTGGACACCTGGACACACACACACGTTAGATAACACACACACACACGTTAGATAACACACACACACAAAGTTCCTATCAGTTTATGTTCCGGTGCATTCCCGTCACGGATGCTGTGCTGATGAAATGACAGTCTGAGTAGGAGAAGACACATTTACCCACACCCTGGGCACTTAAACAATCACCCCATCAACCACTGTCTCTAACACACACACAGAGACACACACCACAAGCGCACACACAGAAATAGACACACAAAAACGTTTACCCAAACCCCAGACAACAGAGAAAGACACACTTTGCTACCACACACAGCGGAGTGATTTAACACCGGCTGTCGTTCATCCAGACAAACCACATCCACTGATAGACACCAATCACTGTATAGCTCTGCCTGGGCACGTTGAATACCCTTGCCTACAACCACATCCACGTGATAACCCTATCGCTCGTGGTGACAACCACATCCACTGAATTCCAGATTTGCCTGCAAACCATTCCCTTCCCATCTCCCTGGGACAAACCACTCACGTGAAACCATCTCCCTGAAACCCATCACGACCCAATCTGCCCTGGGACAACCACATCCACCGCATCACCATCTGGCCCTGGACAAACCAACACTGAATAACCAACACCGGGACAACCACATCACACTGAATACCTCATTGTCCGGTGACAACCACATCCGCTGAATACCATCTGCCTGGGAAAAACACACATTGAACCCAACTCCCTGGGCACAAACCACATCCCTAACCACTGTCCTGGGACAAACCAACAAACCACAATACCAATCTGCACCTGGACAAACCACAATCCCTGATACCCAATCTCCCGAAAACCACATCAGAAACCACTCCTGGGACAACCACACCACTGATATTAACCACGCCTGGGCCTTATCCATTCCGACAAACCACATCCACTGAATACCCAATCTGCCCTGGGGACAAACCACATCCACTGAATACCCAATCTGCCCTGGGGACAAACCACATCCACTGAATACCCAATCTGCCCTGGGGACAAACCACATCCACTGAATACCCAATCTGCCCTGGGACAAACCACATCCACTGAATACCCAATCTGCCCTGGGGACAAACCACATCCACTGAATACCCAATCTGCCCTGGGGACAAACCACATCCACTGAATAACCAATCTGCCCTGGGGACAAACCACATCCACTGAATACCCAATCTGCCCTGGGGACAAACCACATCCACTGAATAACCATTCTGCCCTGGGGACAAACCACATCCACTGAATACCCAATCTGCCCTGGGGACAAACCACATCCACTGAATACCCAATCTGCCCTGGGGACAAACCACATCCACTGAATACCCAATCTGCCCTGGGGACAAACCACATCCACTGAATACCCAATCTGCCCTGGGGACAAACCACATCCACTGAATACCCATCTCTGCCCTGCGACAAACCACATCCACTGAATACCCAATCAGCCCTAGGACAAACCACATCCACTGAATACCAATCTGCCCTGGGGACAAACCACATCCACTGAATACCCAATCAGCCCTAGGCACAAACCACATCCACTGAATACCATCGCCCTAGACAAACCACATCCACTGAATACCCAATCTGCCCTGCAGACAAACCACATCCACCTGATACCCAATCTGCCCTGGGGACAAACCACATCCACTGAATACCAATCTGCCCTGCCAACACCACATCCACTGAATACCCAATCTGCCCTGGGGACAAACCACATCCACTGAATACCCAATCTGCCCTGGGGACAAACCACATCCACTGAATACCCAATCATCCCTGGGGACAAACCACATCCCAGAGATACATACTGAAGAATGCCTCATATGACGTACGTCCTTCCCTCTGTCCCTCCCCCCTCACTCTCTCTCTTCTCTCTCTCTCATACTTCTTCCACTAGTGTGTTCTTTATGAATACTGTACAGGAGACCCATGAGAATCCTGTGTAGGGTTGCAAAGGGAGGGTATGTTACTGGAAACTTTTATGGATTACTGGATTTGATGTAATCTATCACAAGATATCTAGTGTCCCTTTTGGGTACTTCAGATTATCACAGGTGTCTGTAATTATCTCTGTCTCTGTGTGGCCTTATCACATGTAAAATATATTAAATAATTAAATAAGATGATTTTAAAATAAAATAAAGCTGTAAAACATTTAACTAAATATAAACCATCAACTCTGTAAAACATTATACTAAATATAAACCATCAACTTAGTGAATACCATTGGTGTTTAATATGAGGGTTTCAGCATGAAATAACCTTTACATTTTTTTAACACACTTTCATTTGTTGTCAATGTTTTTGCATCAAACTGGTGGCGGTTGTGAACATAGTCAATAGTTGGAAGAGTTGCAGAGGTAGTAGAAAATAAGGCAATTGTTAATTAGATGCTTTTTCATTAATTAGGCTATTTTCTCTTGAACCATATGGTCCATCTACTAGAAACTCATGGACAATATGGACACAGATATAAAAAATGAATACTATATATGAATATATATATTTTAAAAGTTATTCATGTATAAATTACCGAAGTTTCGATAGATTGCCATAGATTTGTTAATTACCAAAATTACTGAAGTTTCCGGTAACTTTGGTAAATTAACAGTAGCTTTGCAACCCTAGTCCTGTGTGATGAAGTGATACAATACTGCCCCAATGTGGTCAGGTTGGGGACTGCAGGTGTTCTGGGCTCCAAAGGACATACTGCTCTGGGAGGAAGAAGCCTTTAGGTACAGGTGTGTGTGTGTGTGTGTGTGTGTGACTGACCTGTGGTTTGTCGATGGCGGAGAGCACTTCCTGAACTCTCTTTGCCTCTGAGTCGTGATCTGAGGAGTGAGAACAGACACAACATTACCAAATAGTGTGTGTTTCTGTTCTTAATTGAGAGGGTGTTATTACAGCTAAGCACCACCAGAGGGCAGGCTGAGCTGTGTCATATACAGTATGTACAGTATGTACAGACCCCAACCTGGATTACTGCCTCAGTCTACCCTACGTTCTGTTGTCTGCTCATAAAACGGGCCGGCTCCAGTAACACACACACACACACACACACACACACACACACACACACACACACACACACACACACACACACACACACACACACACACACAGGTCCAGTGGCAGAGCATGTCTAGGGGTGATTTAGGAGTGGGTCGGGGTTAGCGCTGGGGTGTGTGTGTAATGGAAGTTTATCCCCAGAGTGTGTAATGTGTGTGTGTGTGTGTAATCCCTATACCAGAGTTGCTTCAGACAGGAGCAGAGCTGCTTTCTCCATCAGAGCAGAGTTCACAAAATCACCCAGAAATTGTTTTTGTTTCAGAGAGAGAGAGAGAGAGAGAGAGAGAGAGAGAGAGAGAGAGAGAGAGAGAGAGAGAGAGAGAGAGAGAGAGAGAGAGAGAGAGAGAGAGAGAGAGAGAGAGAGAGAGAGAGAGAGAGAGAGAGAGAGTAGCATCAGGTGAAATCTCTCCTGACCACATCTCCTGTCTCTGTCTGTCTGGATGTGTTTGTTTGATAACGGAGGACAGACAGACCAAGAACGACAGAGCAACAGAGGACAGGAGGAAGAGAAGGATGACGAGGGGGGAGGGAGAAGAGACAGTGGTCTAAGCCAAAGCTGAGTAAGACAGAAAGAAAGAGGAGAGAGAGGAACATTTCAAAAACACACGCAGAGGAGAGAAGGAGAGGAGAGAGGGATGAGGCCACAGAAGAGGAGCGGAGGAGAAGAGAAAAATGGATTTTCATCAGGATGGAGAGAAAAGTGAGGAAAGCAGAGAGGAGGAGTACAGAACAAGGGGATATGAGGGGTCATCTTCAAGACCCTGGTGCTGGCCTACTGAGCAGCAAGGGGAACCGCCCCTCCCTACCTTAAGGCTCTGCTCAAACCCTAGATCCCAACCAGAGCACTCCGTTCCGCCACCTCTGGTCTCTTGGCCCACCCACCCCTAAAATAAAATAAAGGCACTTCTCTTTTCCCACTAGCACTGACTTTGCTGATAAATACTTTGTTGGGGGAAAATGTACTTACGATCGTGATGTGTTGTTGTCTCACCTAGCTATCTTAAGATGAATGCACTAATTGTAAGCAAACGTAAGAGGAGGGTAGGGTGATTACACAATCGCTGCGTTCCAGTTCTGTGACATCATCAGCAGGCGCAGCAGATGCAGGGGAAGGGGCTTGTCAGACTGCGTGAATATGTCTAAGTGTGTCTGTGTGTATTAAAAAATAGACTTTTAGAAACTAGAAACAATGAACTGAAGGAATGGAGGAGAGAGTGAGATATAGAGAGAAAGAAAGAGAGGTACAGTGCTGTGAAAAAGTATCTGCCCCCTTTCTGATTTTTGCATATTTTTGATACTGAATGTTATCAGATCTTCCACCAAAACCTAATATTAGATAAAGGGAACCTGAGTTTACAAATAACAACAACAAAAACGATACTTATTTTATTTATTTAATTAACAAAGTTATGCAACACCCAATTCCCCCATGTGAAAAAGTAATTGCCCCCTCACACTCAGGAGAATGTCATGCCATCCGTCTGTGAGCTAAAGCTGAAGCGCAGCTGGGTGATGCAGCAAGACAATGATCCAAAACACACAATCAATCCTACATGAAAATGGCTAAAAAGCAACAAATTAGAAGTTTTGGAATGGCCTAGTCAAAGTCCTAATCCCAATTGAGATTTTGTGGCAGGACTTGAAACAAGCAGTTCATACTTGAAAACCCACAAATGTCACTACGTTACAGAGTGGGCCAAAATTCCTCCACAGCGACGTGAGAGACCAATCAACAACTACAGGAAGCGTTTGGTTGGGGTCATTGCAGCTAAAGGTGGCACAACCAGTTATTGAGTGTAAGGAGGCAATTACTTTTTCACACAGGGGCATTGGGTGTTGCATAACTTTGTTTATGAAATAAATGAAATAAGTATGTAATTGTTGTGTTATGTGTTCACTCAGGTTCCCTACTAGGTTTTGGTTGAAGATCTGATAACATTCAGTATCAAAAATATGCAAAAGTAGAACAAATGTGAAAGGGGGCAAATACTTTTTCACGGCACCGTAGAGAGGGTGAAAGAGATAAAAGACAAAGAGAGAAAAAGGAGAACGAGAGAGAGAGAGAGAAGAAGAAGAAGAAGAAGCCTGCAGGGTTCCACAGCGTTTTCATCTGCTCAACAGCTGGCCCCCTTAACACACACACACACACACCTGTTTTTCTATCCTCGTGGGGACCTAAAATGTATTTCCATTCAAAATCCTATTTTCCCTAACCCATAACCCTAACCTTAACCCTAACCTTAACCCCTAACCCTAATCCTAATTCTAACCCTAATTGTAAACACCACACACACACACACACACACACTTGTTGAGACCTGTCTGAGAAGGTTTGTAGTCATGGTGAAAGTTTGGTTCTCATGGACAGAGACCATGGTTTACAGAGAGGATTAGTATGTGTGTGTGTGTCTCCAACCATACTTTCATAGAGGAGAGATGTACGACTGAGGTGCCAAGGGACACAGCAATTCTGCCACACTTCCTGGAAGGCAACAGTGTGTGTGTGTGTGTGTGTGTGTGTGTGTGTGTGTGTGTGTGTGTGTGTGTGTGTGTGTGTGTGTGTGTGTGTGTGTGTGTGTGTGTGTGTGTGTGTGTGTGTGTGTGTGTGTTGGCTGAAGCGTTGGGAACTCAGATGGTAGAAGTACCGTTTCAACCCAGTCGACCCAGGAAAGGTGTTAAGATCACTGTTCCTAAGATCACTAATTAATCTAGCTAAGATTCATATCTCCCATTGTGAAGCAGCTGACTAAATCTGACTGTAATGATAACCTGATGATATGCAGCTCTGGCTCTGCACTAGCTAACATTGTGCAGATGTGTGTACGAGAGACTTGTAAGAATAAGACTGAGTCGGACTGGACTTGGACTCCTTGAACCAGCTGACACAGAGGACTAGCTGACACAGACAGACAGGCAGGCAACAGGCCCTTATTAGGGTGTAGGGTGGTGGGGTGGGGGGGACCTATTACCATGGCAACACAAGCAAAAACATGGAGTGTGGGAGAGCTTACACACTTACTGAGGGTCACTATGACAACGCTGTTTATTTTAAAAGGCCTGAGTCATGCTAAGGTCAGGGGTCGGATCTGTTAATGAACTAAACGAGCACTTACAGCACACACTCTCTCTCTCTCTCTTACGGGATGACATCATCTTACATCACAGTCTTACGCTTTTTCAAGTAACTCATCTCCTCTCCTCTCCTCTCCTCTCCTCTCCTCTCCTCTCCTCTCCTCTCCTCTCCTCTCCTCTCCTCTCCGTACACATTCTACAGTATAAACAACATGGACTGGCCACATCAGTTTCATAAAATTACTGCTCTATACAGAGAAATTATTACGCGTTCAAAACAACTGTGAACTCAGAAATCTCCGACTTCGGACTTCAGTACGTTCAAGACAACTGTGAACTCGGGGAAAACGGTCATCCAACTTGGAATTCCAAGTCGGAAACTTGGACATCTTTCTAGAGCTCCAACTTTCCGACCTGAAGACCACTGACTTCATGATTTGACCTCGTTTTTTTTTTCTGAGTTCCCAGTTGTCTTGAAAGCACCACTAGAACTACAGAAAGGTGCTGTAGTTCTGATGACGTAGAACCAACATGGCGGACAAAGACACATCTGTTTCAGCTGAAATCTCAGCTCTACTGAGAAACCGCAATGCTGGCATTGCTCTACCATGGGACATCAGTTTCCTGAAATCGCTGTTCTCTACAGATAAACTGCACCGCTGACGTAGAACCATCATGGAGGACAGAGGCACATCTGATTGTGTTTAGAGCGGTGGGCTTTACTGACTGTCTTGACTGACTGGTAGCCAAGCACATTACTGGAATAGAGGACATTAGCCAATAGACACACAAACACACACATCCAGCAGGGTACAGAGCAAAGTCTACAGCGTGGGTGTGTGTTTGTGTGTGAGTGTGAACCCTGTCTGGTGTTCCAGACAGTGTGTGTGTGTGTGTGTGTGATCCTCCTGGTTGAAAGCAGAGGGCCAAGCAGTAGATTAGACAGATGGAATGTTCTCTCTCATTCTTTTATATATCTATTTTCTCTTTCCTTTGTCTCTCATCCCCCTCTCACTCTCCCTACTTTCTTTCTCTCCACTAAGTCTACCTCCTAGCTTTTCAATCGCTCTCATATTCTCTTTTCTCACTTTTAATTTCCCTGTCCCTCTATCATACTCTCCTCTCTCTTTCTCCCTCTCTCATGCTCTGATTGTTTTAGAGGAAGCCCTGTCACGAGGTGTATGTTAGTTGTAGTGGAGTCAGCCTGATCTCCAGTCCAGAACTGAGACCCTGCTAGACCATCAGAGAGACACAGATACCCCTAGACATACACTGACATGTACTGTACGTGTGTGTGTGTGTGTGTGTGTGAAGATACTGAGTTGATCAAAGCTCATCAGGCTCTCTCTCTTTCCATGATGTCACCATCCAGCCAAACAAACCCCCTTACACCTGGCCTCAATGGAACATTCCCCTGACCCCGGACTGTACAGCCAGACTGGTCCAGCGCTGAAACGGGGGTCTGAGAGGTGGTTTGGCCTGTTTCTTTGGGATTAACTCTGGTGTCTCTCAGCAGGCTTGTCTGTCAACACCTCTGCACACAGGCCAGCGAGATAGAGATGTGTGTGTGTGAAAGAGAGCTCAAAGGGTTCCTTCATGGAGAACAGGACTCAACAGATATGTACTGTACCTCACCCCTCTTCCCTCTCCTCCCTCTCTCCCCCTTACTCCCCTCACCTCCACTCCTCTCCTCACTACCTCTCCTCTCCTCTCTCCTCTCCTACACCCCCCCCCCCCCCCCTCCCAGACAAGGCCAGTATTGTAGAGGGAGAAACCGATAGGTCTCTGAACAGACTCAGCTATGTGGTTACCTAGACAACCCCCTCTCTCCCCCCTCCCTCCCTTTCCACCTCTCCTCTCCACCTCAGTAAGGCACCATTCATCCATTCCTCTTTTTCTCTCTTTCATTGAGAAGAAAAGAGGGAGAGACATCTGAAGAGTATTCACTTATCTCTGTGTGTGTGTGTGTGTGTGTGTGTGTGTGTGTGTGTGTGTGTGTGTGTGTGTGTGTGTGTGTGTGTGTGTGTGTGTGTGTGTGCATGTGCGTGTTTACCTTGCGGTGAGTGTGTGTGTGTGTCTGGCTCGTTGCTCCTTGGGCTGCTCCGTAGCTGTCGTCGTTCCGGCTTCTTCCCTCCCGGACTGTTAGCTCCGCCCATTGACCCCAACGACCCCAGCGTAGGGACGTGGCTCTTCCCGCTGTAACCAATCAAATACAACCAAATTTTATTGACAAAAACTGCATGGAAAGCATCTCAGTAGAATTTTACAATGAAAATAGACCCAACACTCTTAAAATACAGATTCAAATAGTTTGCATGTGTTTTCGACAACTTCATCCTTCCATAGGAAAACAATGTCTGGTCAAAGTCTGTAACTTCCATAGGAAAACAATGTCTGGTCAAAGTCTGTAACTTCCATAGGAAAACAGTGTCTGGTCAAAGTCTGTAACTTCCATAGGAAAACAATGTCTGGTCAAAGTCTGTAACTTCCATAGGAGAACAATGTCTGGTCAAAGTCTGTAACTTCCATAGGAAAACAATGTCTGGTCAAAGTCTGTAACTTTCATAGGAAAACAATGTCTGGTCAAAGTTTGTAACTTCCATAGGAAAACAATGTCTGGTCAAAGTTTGTAACTTGTCTATAGTGTTTCTTCTGTATGCATTATGGCTATAGATCTCAGACTTGTAGATCAAGTTGATCACTAGTAAAACTAGTAACTAGTCTAAACTATTAACTAGTCTATAACTAGTCTGTAACTTGTCTGTAATTATAAGGCTAGTCTCTTCACACTTGTAGAGATAGTCAGTAACTAGTCTCTAGTCTCTAACTAGTATTGCTTTAGTGTTTAAGTAGTACTGTAACTACAGATCTGCAATCTTAATTTGACCAGTTTCTCACAGCAGGAAAACAATCCTACAGCAACAGGAAATGTGAATGATTATGTGGATTATAATTCATGAACATTATTGTCGCGGTTGACACATTTTTCGTTAGGGCAAATAAAGTCTGACATTTTAAAGTGAAAATTACAAACGTTAGAAGCCTTTTTAAACCGTGAATACACGAACATTCTCTGCCACAACAGAGTGATCAAATGAAGATAGTACATCTGTAGTCTCTAACTAGTCAAACTAGTCTCTAACTCCAGGACTATTCTCTGACCTGTATCCATTGTGGCTAGAGCCCAGAGACTTGTACAGGGAGGAGGGAGGAGAGTTGAGTCTGTTCTGTCGTTCCAATTGTCTCTGTTCCTTTATCTTCTTAGGCTGGGGCTTGCTGTAGCTCTCCTCTCTACCAATGTAGCTCGACATACCATAGACTGGGATTATCTCTGGGAGATGGAGAGAGGGAGGGGGGTGGGGGGAGGAGAGGAGAATAGAGAGGGAGAGGAGAAGGAAGACGAGAGAGGGAGTTAGCTATATCGTTTAGGTGTATATATATACACTGAGTGGACAAAACCAAGCCATGAGGTCAAAGGAATTGTCCGTAGAGCTACAAGACAGGATTGTGTCGAGGCACAGATCTGGGGAAGGGTACCAAAAAATATCTGCAGCATTGAAGGTCCCCAAGAACACAGTGGCCTCCATCATTCTTAAATGGAAGAAGTTTGGAACCACCAAGACTCTTCCTAGAGCTGGCCGCCCGGCCAAACTGAGCAATCGGGGGAGAAGGGCTTTGGTCAGGGAGGTGACCAAGCACACGATGGTCACTCTGACAGAGCTCAAGAGTTTCTCTGTGGAGATGGGAGAACCTTCCAGAAGGACAACCATCTCTGCAGCATCCCCCAATCAGGCCTTTATGGTAGAGTGGCCAGACGGAAGCCACTCCTAAGTAAAAGGCACGACAGCCCGCTTGGAGTTTGCCGCTGAAAAACATCCCCACAGCATGATGCTGCCACCACCATGCTTCACTGTAGGGATGGTGCCTGGTCTGATGAAACCAAGATGCCTGAATGCCAAGCATCACGTCTGGAGGAAACCAGGCACCATCCCTACGGTGAAGCATGGTGGTGGCAGCATCATGCTGTGGGGATGTTTTTCAGCGGCAGGGCCTAGGAGACTAGTCAGGATCGAGGGAAAGATGAACGGAGCAAAGTACAGAGAGATCCTTGATGTAAACCTGCTCCAGAGCGCTCAGGACCTCAGACTGGGGCGAAGGTTCACCTTCCAACAGGAAAACGACCCTAAGCACACAGCCAATACAATCCAGGAGTGGCTTTGGGACAAGACTCTGAATGTCCTTGAGTGGCCCAGCCAGAGTCCGGACTTGAACCCGATTGAACATCTCTAGAGAGAACTGAAAATAGCTGTGCAGCAACGCTCCCCATCCAACCTGACAGAGCTTGAGAGGATCTGCATAGAAGAATGGGAGAAACTCCCCAAATACAGACGTGCCAAGCTTGTAGCATCATACCCAAGAAGACTCGAGGCTGTAATCGCTGCCAAAGGTGCTTCAACAAAGTACTGAGTAAAGGGTCTGAATACTTATGTAAATGTGATATTTCAGCTTTTTATTTTTAATAACTTTGCTAAAATTTATAAAAACCTGTTTTTGCTTTGTCATTATGGGGTATTGTGTGTAGATTGATGAGGGGAATAAGGCTGTGACGTAACAAAATGTGGAAAAAGTCAAGGGGTTGGAATACTTTTCGAAAGCACTGTATATATCTCTAGTATAGGCTACAGTATCTCATATGCCCATAGACATGCCTTAGACAGTGGTGTGAGTATCTTACCTTCTCCATATATGGGTGGGAGATGGTGTTGGTAGTACTGGTGCGGGGGAAGGTCTCCAGGACTCACAGGGGGATAGAAGGAGTGAGAGTTGGGGATAAAGTGGGGATGGGTGAGGTAGGGAGGGAGGTGGTGCGTGGGGGAGAGAGCGGGGGAGTACGAGGGGGGATAACATTCAGGAGACTGGGGGGTGACGACCACCCGACGCACTCCTGTGTTGTCTTCTAACACCTAGGGGGAAGAGAGGGGGATGGGAGAGGGGAGAGAGGGATGGGAGAGGGGAGGGGTGGAGGGGAGAGGAGGAGAGGGAAGGGGAGAGTAGGGGTGGTGAGAGGGGGGATGGGGAGAGGGAGGGTGGCAGGGGAAGGGGAGGAGAGGGGAGGGGAGGAGAGGGGGATGGGATGAGGGGTGGGGTGGAGGGGAAGGGGAGAGGATCGAGGGGATGAGGGGGATGGAAGAGGGGAGGGGTGGGAGGGGAGAAGGAAGGAGGGAGGAGAGGGGAAGGGGAGGAGAGGGAAGGAGAGGAGAGGAGGGGAGAGGGGGATGGGAGAGGGGAGGGTTGGGTTGGGGGGAGAGGGGGAGGGAGGAGAGGGGAAGGAGAGGAGAGGAATTCTTATAATTACTGGAGAATTCCACAATAGAACACATCTAATACCGCTCCACAAACACTGGACTCAATTAAATCCAACCCACATTGGAGTATTCACACAGCAGGTCTCCCCATGGTCAAATAACATGGCAGGTTTTGTAAAACCCACCACCACCATCACCAGGTAGTAGATTCCCCTTACAGGTAACTACAGTTGACAGATTAAGAGCAGTGTGTGGGGGGCAGTAGCTTGTAAACCAAGACACTATATCAAATTGCTATGGGTTTGATCCAGTTTAAGACACACACACAAATTCCACCCATTCAGACACTCTCTCACACACACATTCCATTCCATTCACACACATTCCAATCAGTAAGCAAACACACACTCCCCCGTGAGAGTCGCTTCCAAGTGCTGCAGCAGCACAATAAGACACAAAACACCACACACACACACACATACACACACATTCACACACACACATACACACACATTCACACACACACACACACACACACACACACATATACACACACACACACACACACACACACCACACACACACACACACAACACACCACACACACACACACACACACACACACACACACACACACACACACACACACACACACACACACACACACACCACACAAACCACACATGCACACATACACCACACATACACACATACACACACACCACACATACACACATACACACACACACACATACACACACATACACACACATGCAGGCAGCGAGAGAGAGAGAGGAGAAAAGATAGCAGGGCACTCTCCCTGACTCCCCCATCCGACCTCCACATCCTCTATACAAAACAAACTTACCATACGTGAAAAACAGACATGTTTATGTGACAACAAGGCCAAAGTCCCACCAGAAACTAGTTGGCAGAGGATCCCCCTCTCTCTCCTTCCATCCCCCTCTCTCTATGTGGGTGTTTATCCAAGGGTGACACTTTTTCCCGCTCTCAGTTGGCTCAGTGGCCTCCCCCAACCAAAACAGAGTCAGTGGCCTCCCCCCAACACACACAGTCAATGGCCTCGCTGCTATCACCCCCCCCAACAACGTACCCTGAAATAATCAACACATTCCTTTCTGCTCTGGGCGGCTTCAGTTGAGAGCAAGTGTATCACACACAAACACAGCTTACCTGGGAGATGTATCCTGGGGGGACGTGGATAGGGGGGATTGATCCGTTGGGAGACATCATTGGGACCTCAGCAGGACCTGCACGAAAGATACACACTGTCAGTCACTGTAACACACACACACGCAGTAATGACAAGGCAGCGCATAGGCTAACACGGTCTTGTATAAAGCAGGAGACCTGGATTCGGTCACAGACACACAAACACCAAAACAACAGCAGGTAAAAACCTTATGGAGGAAAATCCACATATTTTTGTGTTTAATTTTCTAATGTGATCTCTCTCTCTCTCTCTCTCTCTCTCTCTCCTCTCTCTCTCTCTCTCTCTCTCTCTCTCTCGCTAGCTCTCTCTCTCTCTCTCTCTCTCTCTCTCTCTCTCTCTCTCTCTCTCTCTCTCTCTCTCTCTCTCTCTCTTCAATCCCCCCCCCCCCTCCCCCTCTCTGGTAAAGTCATTGGTATCCCGTAGAGACTGCTGTAGGCAGGTCTGGGTTCAGTGTTAATCATACTAAACACACACACACACACAAACACATACAAACAAACCCACACACACACAAATACAAACACACACAGTAGGTGAGAAGTACACAGTGAGAGACCTCTTTTTGCCCCCTCTCTGACCTCCCTCCTCCCCCTCTTCTTTTCTGGGGGATATGAAGCTGTTCATTGAGCATAACATATGAAAACACAAACATACACTCACACACCAACACACACACACAAACGCATTCACACACATTTTCACGCACACACATAAATTGCACACACACTTGGCAAACAGACGTGTGTTTAGACAGTCTCTGCAGCATCTGTGCTCTTCGCTCAGCAAACAGCAGCTTTCCACCACTTAAACACACACACAGAACAGAGTGTTCCCATCCATGGCCCCCTAGACTGGACCCAACAGGCCAAAAGCCCCCCCAAAAAACAAGACGCTCTTTGTCCCCCCAACCCCCTACACACACACACACACACACACACAACCACACACACGCACATAGAGGGTAGAACATGGCTCTTTAGTGTGCAATATTTTTGGAGTAACCCTGAGAACAAGTTCCTATTTATTTTAGGTCTGTAATGAACTAAATAACCCACATGTGAAGTTCAAAATCTACAACAGCCAAGCTAAAGGTAGAAGCAAGCATATACAGGTAACTGCCAAAATACAGGAAACACCAACATAAAGTGGGCCACCACAAGCCAGAACAGCTTCAATGCACCTTGGCATAGATTCTACAAGTGTCTGGAACTCTATTGGAGGGATGCGACACCATTCTTCCATGAGAAATTCCATCATTTGGGGTTTTGTTGATGATGGTGGAAAGCTCTGTCTAAGGCGCCGCTCCAGAATCTCCCATAAGTGTTCAATTGGGTTGAGATCTGGTGACTGAGACGGCCATGGCATATGGTTTACATCATTTTCATGCTCATCAAACCATTCAGTGACCACTCGTGCCCTGTGGATGGAGGCATTGTCATCCTGTGGGGCCACAGCCATTGTAGCCAGAATAATGGCTAAAATAAGGGCCTGCCCAGCATTTTTATACATGACCCTAAGCATGATGGGATGTTAATTGCTTAATTAACTCAGGAACCACACCTATGTGGAAGCACATGCTTTCAATATATACTGAACAAAAATATAAACGCAACATGCAACAATTTCAACGTTTTTACTGAGTTACAGTTCATATAAGGAAATCAGTCAATTGAAATTAATTCATTAGGCCCTGATCTATGGATTTCACATGACTGGGAATACAGATATGCAACTGTTGGTCACAGATACTTTTATTTTTTTTAAGTAGGGGCGTGGATCTGAAAACCAGTCAGTATCTGGTGTGACCACCATTTTCCTCATGCAGTGTGACACATCTCCTTCGCATAGAGTTGATCAGGCTGTTGATTGTGGCCTGCAGAATGTTGTCCCACTCCTCTTCAATGGCTGTGCGAAGTTGCTGGATATTGGAAGGAACTGGAACACGCTGTCGTACATGTTGATCCAGAGCATCCCAAACATGCTCAATTAATTACATGTCTGGTGAGTATACAGGCCATGTAAGAACTGAGACATTTTCAGCTTCCAGGAATTGTGTACAGATCCTTGCGACATAGGGCCGTGCATTATCATGCTGAAACATGATGTGATGTCCGTGGATGAATGGCACGACAAGGCCTCAGGATCTCGTCACGGTATCTCTGTGCATTCAAATAGCCATCGATAAAATGCAATTGTGTTCTTTGTCCGTAGCTTATGCCTACCCATACCATAACCCCACCGCCACCATAGTACATTCTGTTCACAATGTTGACATCAGCAAACCGCTCACCCACACAACGCCACACAACGCCATACACGTGGTCTGCGGTTGTGAGGCCACTTGGACGTACTGCTAAATTGTTGCGTTTATATTTTTGTTCAGTATACCTAGTATCCCTCATTTCCTCAAGTGTTTCGATTCTTTTTGGCAGTTACCTTTCACTCTGTTGAGTGCATTATCCCTTTAAATGGTTAAAAGCAAAAGCAAAAATGATCAATTCAAAGTAACAATTGAGTTGGTAGTGTTAATTCTCAAATATATTATGATCAGTTGGTGTCAGATATGTACTAGCATTAACTGCTCACTCCCTTTCTCTCCTCTCCTCCGTCAGATGTCAAGAGATGAGGTAATTTCCTGTCTCAAGTATATGGCATCACCACCCAGACAGGAAGATGTGATGTAGAATACAATCTGTCACCTCTACATTCAAGTGTTTCCCCTAGAAACCACATAGCAACCGTTACATCATCTGGCTTGGAGCAACACACAGAATGACAGAATACAGAGAACCCCCACACACACAGACACAGACACACACAAACACACACTACAGGAGATTGGTTCTCTCCGTGTCCATAGACTAATTAAACAGAATCTCATCTTCAAAATAATTAAGCATCATCCTTTCCCCATTACCACATGGAATACACTCAAAACTGTAGGACACACTCTCACACACAACAACAGGAGATGATGCAACATTTCATCAGATGTTTCTCACAATACAGCTGTCTGGAACAGCTGCTGCAGGGCCCCAGAGGTGCACACACACACATGCACACACACACACACACTGTAATTAACTGTGTTCCATTTTTGCGTTTAGTGTTGTTGTGATGCTGTGTTATGCTATGCCTAATCTTGGTGATAGGTGATTGATTGCTTTGTCCTGTTAAGAGTTAGGCCATTTCAATCAAACTCGAAGTGTCTTTTAAAACAAGCAAACAAACAGCAATCATCCCATATTGGCAACTACAGTAGTTGGGATCTTAAAGGATGTGTGTGGCTTTGTGTCAGGGTTAATCCATTAGAATTCAATCCCTTTTTGACAGCACCCCTTTTGATTTGAACGAAACCTTCCATACATATTTTCCCATGGTAGAAGTGCTCAGAAAGTCACTTTTTGACTGAATGTCAAAGCATTGAAGATATAAAGGTGCTCAAAGTTGACCTATTTTGCATACCCCACCATACCATGAGACATCCATGTCTTCATCACTGGAAAAGATAAACGGTTGAGATTGATGTCATTTAAAAGCTTACAAAAAGGGTTGTCAAACTATTTCATATATATATATATATATATATATATATATATATATATATATATATATATATACGTTTAACCTTAAAGGTTAGGTAACATAAACGTAACCACATGTGACATATGGATTTGCATTAGTATACGCATCAACAGTCCCAATGCAAAGTTACACCTCACTTTGCTATTTCTCAAGTTATTACATAAAACCGATCAGAATTCCAAAGAATACCGGAAAATGTTTCTGCGGCGTGTGACATAATATGGAGGACCCGGCAAGCCAGCATATTCCCTATGTTACAGATTTTGGTTTTTCCATTTACGTTTGAGGTTGGACTTTTAGCACATATAGCATGTATAGCAGGTAGCTGGCTCGGGTTGGCAAGTAGCCTAGCGGTTAAGCGTGTTGGGCCAGTAATCAAAAGGTTGCTGGTTTGAATCCCTGAGCTGACTAAGTGAAAAAAAATATTATTTTTTCTTGCAGTCAATTTGCAGTCTACAAATAATTATTAAATATGGTCCAGCCCCTCGACCATCCGCTCAAGAAAAAAATAGTCCGCAGCTGAATCTAGTTCATGATTCCTGCTCTATAATGTAAACTCTGACAGAAATAACTTCAAATGCATAACTTTAAATTAAACCAAATTGTTTGCACTCGTGACTACTGGTTTCAATAAAATTTTCAACCAACTTACAAGCAAATACTTTATGTATTTATTGTTACAAATCAGCTTGCAACATTGCTAGCCAACTAGCATGCTAACGTTAGTCCTAGTAGCCCTATCAGCCAGCTAACGTTACGTGACTGCATGAGTCAGCCAGTTGCTATCAACACCTAGCTTACAGCTACATTAAAGTAAACCAACATTTTGAAAAAACATAACGGCATCGAAACAGTTATCCAATAAGTTTACCGGTATATGCAGTTATCTTAGCCAGCAAGCCAGCCAGCTAAAGTTAGTTATTTTAGCCTGCTAGCTAGCCTAGCCAGCTAACTAGCCTAGCTAGCCAACTACCACGGTCGACATAGTAAGCCAGCAAACAACACCAACTAGTCTAGCACAGGCAGGAACCCACAGAACACAAAAGAAAGCCAGCAAATATAAAGTAGAGAGAGCGGAGACTTACCGATTTACGGCTGAGTTAGCTACCAAAGAACAGCCAAGAAAAGGCATTTCAGAAGGAGAGGCCATTTCACCGGCCGAGGGAGAGTCAGCTAATCCAATAGCGATATAGTGAGATAAATCCAAATAATATATATTCCAGAGGCATTGTTGGTAGTTTAGAAGATATCCGGAAATAAGTGAATAAATATGTTAAAAACCCTAAAGCATAACTATGTTTGTAGTTATAGGTAACCAGATCTTGACTACAACTAGGGGTGTAACGGTACACGTATTTGTACCGAACCGTTCGGTACGGGGACCTCGGTTCGGTCCGCACTGTGAACCCAAATGAATACATCAAATAAAATGTTTTACTAAATAAAAACACTAGGCCTATAGGCTATGTCTATGCTGCGTTGTAGTGCCTCTTTAATAAATCTGAGCTGAAAAAACATTT